TCTTACGAATGTGAAGAAGAAAAATAAGAGGATGCGGAAGAAGGAAAATGGAAAAATGGAGGGAAATAAATTATTTTTTTCTTCCTAACTTTCTTCTTTTTCTCCTTCCTCCCATTTTTCTTTTTTTTACAGCTTATACTTATTCCTCTTGCTAACATTTTTCTCATTTTAAATATTTTATACCTGCTCTTCTGCCTGTTCTTCCTGTTTTTCCCTTTTCTCATTCTTCTTCCTCGCTCCTTCTTTCCTTTTTCTTCCTGCGGGCTAACTGTTGAAATCGATGGACAAAGCTATAGACAAAAAAGACAAGAGGGATATGGAGGGATCCTATATTGATGGAAGTGGGAGGTTGCAATAGACATATGAGGTAAGTAATAGACTAACTAACGGCAACCCACAAGAGATCCTATAATGTCCTCATCATTTACCAACTTAGTCTATCAGAGCCACCCTTTTCAACCTAAAGGATCGCTCTATACTCCCTATGTCTTCTTTGTCTATAGCTTTGTCTATCCATTTCAACAATCAGCCCGCCGATCTTCTTACGCTCCTTTTTCCTTCTTTGTCTACTCTTTCTTCACCTTCTCTTCCTCATCATCCTCCTTCATCTCCTCCAGATTTCTCGATTCGTCTGCATTCGACATAAAATACTCGCTGTACGACCCAAATCCGTCAGACTATGGCTATTGCGTCGTCCCAGATCCTCCAATGCCTCTCGTCCTAGCCGTTGACCCATTAACACCGAAACGTCCTACGGGATGACACGTTGCGGAAATGGCGGGCAAAAGGGAGCGCCAATTCGAATAGGATATGCTCAAGTTTGGTCCTCGTTTGCCGGAGATGAACTCCACTTAGGAGGGTACGGCTCAGCGGGGAGTGAATGGACCACCTGCTTCGCACTTGGGAGATGCCGGGCGATGGGTCAAGCGGTCAAGAATGCCGCTCATATCCCGCTCCGAAACTTCCGGCAAATGTCAAACTCGAAACGAGCCGAGAAGAATGGGTCGCGGAACCCGCGGGCCACGGGCCAAGTTCTTGCGAAAGTTCGTCAATCTTGAATATGAGTCCCCGGGTGGATTAGCACTCCTTCACCTCTGATTCCCGACCGTATATGATGAGGACCAGGTTGCCAAAATCCTCAAATTATTATTAATATAATATACACTGAAAATAAAATTTACGGGCTATATAGACATACCGTCCGTTCCGGACTCAGAAGCACAAAGTTCCGGGTGCTGGAGCCGTTGTTTAGACTGCTCCAGCACTTACGGCTTCTGAGCCCGGAACGGACGATATGTCTGTAAAGTCTGTAATTACGGCTTCCACGGCTGGATGTTTTTATTCAAAATATGAATAATAAACCCTCTCTTCCTTTGGAGAAGCACTGCCAGGGGTGCAGAATGTCCTTACACTGAAAAAAAATTCTTGGCGTTTTTACCACGGTCCGTTGGTACCTTTACCATCTCACTTTTTTTTACCAATAATTGGTAATTTTACCAAGACAGACTGGTAAGCTTACCTAAAAACCGGTATTTTTACTGTTTTTTCAGGTAAGAATACCAATTTTATTGGTAATCAATTCCAGGTAACTGTCATTTTATCTCGGTAATTCTACCACAGTCGATAAAAAATATTGGCGTTTTTACCAAAGTCCCGTAAAATTACCGAGAAAGTTAAAAAAATTTACCGAGATTTCTTGGTAAAATTACCATTTATGGAATTGGTAATTTTACCAAGAAAAAACTGGGATCAAATAGAACCCTGAATTCTTGGTAATTTCACCCTTTTCTTAGTAAATACACAGAGATTTTTTTTTAGTGTAGCCTTCCCAAAATCAAATGTTTTTCGATAATTCGTCGTTTCCCTCACGAAAGAACCTGACTATATTTCGAAGTTGTCACATTTCCTCTCACAAATTGCATTTAAACCGGGAGAATCTTGGGCATTTCGAATTGAAAATTTTACTAATTTTTCTCCTGATCTCCTGAATTTTTAAATATTCTGAGTGTTTTACATACTATTTTTAGTAAATTCAGTACCTTATTCCCTTCTCAGCGTAGAATTGAAATAAAATAGAAAATGGAAGATGATACGCCATTTATACGGAGTTAGGCAGAAAGGAACCAAGCTACATCAGGATCGAACCGAGAAAAAGAGGTTTAAAGTTTGGCTCCTGCATGTATAAGGCTCAATGTAAAAGATGAAGTTCAAGTTCAATTTCTGCAAAATTTGCTCCAACAAAAACTTTGAATTTTTGGTGATAGATAGTAGAGCAGTAGTTGAATTCAAAATCACTCATAACTCAATTTTTTCCAAAATGTGGGTTGGTTCCTTTCTGCTAAACTCAGTCTATTTATCAGTTCAATCAAAGCTCATAGAGCGATGTAACTGCGAGTCTTTCGAATAGGTAACTATTCGCGCTCCCTGGTACGTTTGTTGCCTATATGGCGAGATCGAAGGCGACTTTTACTGGATTTTACGCTCACCAAGTTGCTCACCAAAAATTACTGCGCGAAATATAGCGTTGAGCTATGAAGTCAACTTCTGCCTCATCCGATTACATAGATTGTAAGTGCAGGAGTTCCTAAAATATATTGTCTCTGAGTGAGGACACATTTTGGTAGATAATAGCGATGCGAGAGACGAGCATTCAGCCGTGCTTAGGAAGAACGCCGTATGAGCGATTAGGCGTTGCCAAATTTCCTTGGACAAATCACGAATTTTCCAGAACATTTTTGAATATTCCTCCTTGGATTTTCCAGAGGATTTCGTTTGTAATTTGATCTATAAAGTCTGAAAATCTCAAGGAAAAATATTCATAATTTTCTTCAAAAATTAATATTTTCTGAGAGGAAATTTGGCAACATTCGAATGTTCATGCGGCGTTTTTACTTCAAACGGCAGTATTCTATTGTGCAACGGAAAAACGCCGCATGAACCTACGAATTTATCAGGAAAATTCTGAATATTTTCCCCCAATTTTTCAGACGCACTGGAAAAAAAACACATCGGATCTAGAGTCCAGACTCTTGGAAACATTGACAAGAAAAAGGACTCTTGATTCAATAAGATTTACGCTTAAATCAAAAGGAAATCCGCTCAAATTAAGAGACTTGGTTCTTGATTTCAGCTTAAATCTGATTGAATCAAGAGTATTTTTTCTTGTCGATATTTTTAAGAGTCTGCGGACTCTAGATCAAATGTGTTTTTTTTTTCCAGTGTGATTTTGTTCGCGATTTCCTCTAAAATATCTGAAAATTTTAAGGAAAACTACACATAACTTCCTTCAAAAATACATGTTTTATTCGGGGAAATTTAGCAACTCTCGAATGTTCATACGGCGTTTTAACTTCGCACGGGAGCATTGGGTGGCGCCTGGTCGGGCCTGACCGCGCGACGCCGCGACGCAGGCCTCGCGGTCACGGGTCAGCGACGCAACAAAACGGCGTGCGGTGCGGCATCGGTACTGTTGCCGTCCTACGCAAAAGAGCAGTAATTCCATTTGAGCGAGGGCCGTAGACAGTATGTGCTCTTGCGCGTTTCAAGGCTTATTCCAGGACGAAATGACGGTTTTTCTCGGTAGCGCGGCCGAGCGGGTGTCGTTTCAGCTTCGAATAATGAAATAATGAGAATTAATCCGGTTCGTCTCTTCAAAAGCGCCCGGTAATGCTCGTCCAACGGGTGAGCACGCTCGCAACTTATCTCGCCTCTGCTTGTAATGCTGTTGCTAAATTATTGCCCATACAAAAAAAAATAAGCAACAAAAAGATCACGATGGCTGGTTATCGATGCAATAGTGAGGCTTCCAAAACATGGATGGATCTTTGATGCGGTATTAAAAAAATTCCGATCATACTTGGATGACATCAATCGAAAGCAGCCAACGTGCATGTTACTTTTCCGAATTTTCTTCCAGCCTCCGCGAATCCTGCCCTAAAGGCAATTACTTTTTAAAACATTTTTCAAAAACTCTTGAAAAACTGATAAGATTTACGTAATGGGTAACTCTTTTTGGCTATTTTTAAAGAGAAATTTACGATAAGCAAAATTTAAGTAAATTGTAAGGGAATAAATGTTTTAAATTGCTCTTGCTAAATTATTGCCCATAACAAAAAACAAGAGAAAAAGATCACGATATTCGGTTACCAATGCGATAGTGAGGCTTCCTAAACATGGATGGATCTTTGATGCGGTATTAAAAAAATTCTGATCATACTTGGATGACATCAATCGAAAGCAGCCAAGGTGCATGTTACTTTTCCGAATTTTCCTCCAGCCTCCGCGAATCCTGCCCTAGTGGCAATTACTTTTTAAAACATTTTTCAAAAACTCTTGAAAAACTGATAAGATTTACGTAATGGGTCTTTTTGGCTATTTTTAAAGGGAAATTCACGATAAGCAAAATTTAAGTAAATTGTAAGGGAATGAATATTTTAAAAAACTCACCGTATCATCGAATTTTTTCAACATTTTTTTCCAAACATTGTTGGTGTTGAAAAATTACAGTTGATATTTTAAGAGTCTTTTAGCACTTTTTTACTTAAATTTTACCGCTCGTAAATTTTAACTTGAAAAAAAGGCCAAAAAGGTTTTCCTGATAATAACATTGAAACAGTTTTTTAAAGAGTTGGCTTTTTGAAAAGTAAGGGTTTTTAAAAAGTTCTTTTAACAGCCGTTGCTACTAGATTGTGATTTTAAAGAAAAAGAAGAAGAAGAAAAAAGTAGTAAAAAGTGAAAAAAAATTATACAAAAACTAGCTGTTTCGGGCTCGTACAAAAATAAAAGAGGCAGCGCTCGGCGCTGTCACGGCGTGTTTTCCGATATATCGATTGATTTGGCATTTAAACCTATGGTAAAGGATCGATAGACAGGGTATTCGCAACGCACACCATACTAATCGATTCTTTACCACAGCTTTAAATGGGAATACATCGATACTCGATCATTCATGCCTCGACCCTGCTTCACTAAGGTATATGTAAGAACAAAGAAAAATTTACCTTTTTCTCCATCTTTAGGAGGCTTGTTAGCATTCTTAGCAGCGGAGAAACTGTTGACGCTCAGCGATTCGTTGGCTTTGAGTTTCTCGTCACCGAGGAAAGACCCGACCAGGTCGATGGTGTACACGCTCTTTTGTTTTTCACCGTTGCACTTATCCATTTTGCCGGCATTCAACGACCCACAAGAAACACCTTCCCTTTCAATACGCTCGTGACGAAATCATAAAGTCGACCTCACGGTAAATAATAACACACCGTCTCGACCCGAGAAGAGAGCGCCTCGCGTCATTTCCAACGACGCTTCATTCTACCAATTTTCTAACGCTTTGAGCACACACATTCAAAGAAAATTTGTTGGCGATCGAGAAAGTATTTTGCGGAATAATTTAAAACAACACCGACTTAAAAATCACTTTTGTTGAAACGACGTAACTGTTTTGAGCGTTAACAACACACAGCAAGAGAATATTCACCCGACAATCAAGAAAATTTAATTTTCGGTCAAGTTATAAAACACTATCGACTTAAACGTACTTTCGTTGAAACAATGTAACAGTTTTGAACGTCAACAACACACTTGCAGAGTTTATTTGTCGGGAATCAAGAAAGTATATTTTGCGGTCCAATTTTATATAACTAGGTAGATTTAAAAAATACTTTCGTTGAGATGATTTAAGGTACTACACTCACAACGCGCGTATCACGGAAAATCCTGTTAAAAATATTGTCATTTCGAGTCACTGAGTTGATTGAATGAGTGCACGGTTCATGAATTTTAAGACGGAGCAGTGGTAGAGCGAATTACTCGTGGCTGGCTATAATCGTGGTTTTTCGAAGGCACGATCCTGATAAAAAGTAAAATAATTTGTCGGGGGACCGTCCAGTAGTTGGTTATGGGTAGTGAATAGTCTACTTTTATGTCTAATGGAAACACTGATTTAAGGCTGAGATGGTTTTGTACACTTATTGTTGGTTTTAATTTAACTTACGCTTAAGAAATGTTATAAATTAACGACAAATGAATCATTCCTACAATATTAGGTTATGTTAACACTTGTGTTAGGCGCCATTATTTTTAAATCTAACGTCATTACCTTGACAGCTGCTGTCTGCATGAGGCGTTGCCAAGTTTTAAAGGAAGTTATGATAAAACTATAAGACTGGAAAAAGAATAAACCAAAGCGAATTTTCTTAAAGATATTGTTTCTGGTCGTGTATCGAAAGAGAAGGGTTGAAAATTGAAACCCAAAGCTTCCAATTTAAAATTACTGGATTGACTAAATTTTGTGTTTTCAGTAATTGCGAGTTATGATTTGTATTTGCGGCTAATGGTGGGAATAAGCCTCCCAAAACAAGTCCTTTATCGATTTTAATAAAAATTGAGATCAAAATTTTGTCAGAAAATATGTTTTCTTCGTACGTATTATTCTTTCCCTTACTTTAATAAACTTCGAGTAGGTGATCTCCTGGTCGAAAAATACAAAAAATGTCTGAGAGGCTCAAGCAACACACATCACAGGGAGTAGACGATCAACAAAAGTTCTACACGCGTAAAGTTGTGAAGTGGACGGACACACGGCGCACCACTGAATTTCACTTGCCAATCTCGACTTTAACATTAACAGTGACCCCGGTATTTTCGGCCTTTGGAATTTGACGCTAAGATAGTCTGCGCTATGCAATCAGATATGGCCTGATAATTAAATTCAGAATTCAGATAACCATGAAATCAGTCAAAGCGAGAAGTTTCGTGTGCAAAAACCTCGGGGAACTGCAAATTCTCACGTGCGAATCTGCGAGATCGTGTAAAGAGCTATGCGGAACAGAGATCAAGATTTCATCCTGAGCTTTTCGTGTACTGATTGATGGGCATTTTGTCAGATGCCTAGGCAGGTAGTAAAATTCCGAATTTTTGCTCGATTTTTGTGGAGATCTTCGAGCATTTCGGTTCTCGGAGAGAGGCGATTGATCAAGACACCAACTTCACTTACATTTAATTCAGCGAAGTTTTTCACATTTATTTTATATAATATCAAACTTGAGAATAATCTACGTTCATGAAGCACTGATCCATTTTGAGAGGAAATGCGGTATGTTAGTGCTAAAAACGCTGGAGGCAATCGTGGTTTGATGAGGCATGTAACAAAACGCTGCAACGATATTTGAAATATGCTCTTGGAAAAAATTAGAAAAAATCTCAGAAAGTCAATCGAAAATGTATTCTTTACATCCTACCAACGCATTCGACAAAATGCCTTATTTGACTCTTGGCCAGTGACAGATACACGCCTTAGCAAGAACTTTCACAGTATATGTATTAACAAACTTTTGCAGTTCTGGGGAGAAAATTTTTTGATTTTTTCCTCTTGTTAGGCACATCACATTTGTGCGGAACATATAATTGCTGACATCAATCATCGTGCTTTTCAAAATGTTTCATTAATACTGAACTTGAGAACTTGAAGTTAGAGCGAATCGCGTTATTCTTTGATACTATATGGGAAAGAAACCACTGAAATATGATCCACAAACACGCAACTGACCCATTTAAGGTACGTTGTTGAATAAGGAACATTGCCATCATTCCGGAAAAATTTCTGAAGACCAAGAACGAAAAACCGAGAGTGAACTGTTTTCAATGGGTGGCAAGGTTAAACGCCTGAGCAAATAGTCAATTTTTGAAGACTCACAAAGATCCGCTTATTTCGAGTCATTTCTCACGATTAGTTTAAGCTAGAGGTGCCAATTTTCACAAGATTTACAATCGCTAATTTCGTTTAAAATAGCATCTCACTCTTTGTTATACGCGAGGAATTTGAGATATTTTGTTATTATTATGAATATGAGCAGATCAAACTACGCAATACACCTGTCATTTGGATTCCATTATTAGATCCTTCCAGTGGGAATTACTCCGAGAGAGTTAGAGGGAAAATAACTGGTGTTGAAATGGATACTGAATCGATCATTTGGATTTTAGGGAGTGGACGTTTCAAATGGACCGCGTCTAGCAGAAAGGAACCAAGCCACATCAGCTACAGCCTTTAAATGGGCAATTTAATTCTTTACGAGAGAACGTTTGTACAGATCCCCTCGAAAATTTTAAAGAATTTGCTTTGTACCACGCAGAAAATTCACTGAAATTTGCATATAAATCAGCACACCCGTATTCGTGAGAAAAATAAAATTGCCCGATTAAATTTGGCGATAGCTGATGTAGCATGGTTCCCTTCTACTTAACGCGGTCCAAATGTTTCCTGATTTTGATTTCATTTATACATTACATTTTATTTATTTTGTCAAGCAGAGCCATTGTGCCTTGAATTTTCATTGAGAGAATTTTGGCTTCTGAATGCTAGAAAAGGGTGTCATTGTTCTTATCCTTCCCAAGTAAGACTAATGCCTTGTTTGTCTGGCCTCTGCCACTAGAATCTCAATGATCTTCCGAGGATGAGAGGTAGCACTGTGCCTATCTTTCAGGCGGTCGCCCAGGTCGCCTCAAGTTTACGCATTTGATCCTTTTAAGCTATATGTCTCGGGCTTGTCGCACATCGCCAACTGACTCATTGGTTTGCTTGTCTTGGAATGAACCGTCTACGATCTTCATTAAGACTTTTGAAGAATATGAGGACAGGAATTTTAGAAAAGATATAGCCTCTTCCCTGATCAAAAGACTTATAATCCACGTAAAACCATTAATCAAAATTACAGAGCGCTGGCTTTTACACATCGTCATGAAAGAAAGAAAGAGAGAAACGACCGGAGAAATTGTAAACTCGGAACTCTTCAGAATGAAATCGCGAGATTTTACAAAATTTCACATGAGGAAAAAAGTTCGGCTACAATAACTAAACTTCCATTAGTGTGGCTCATTGAAGTTTTTGGTTCAGATAACGGCAGTTTTCGACTGTAAAAACCAAACTTTGGGATGGATGACTTAAAATTTTGAGTGGAATATACCGATCTCAGGGCGGGCACTAAAAACTTTGGTCACCTTTACCAAAATTCAATTTCTACGATCGAAAAGGTCAGTTCGGTAGATTTTGACCTGAAAAATGCCTTGGGTTATATATCGTACATACAGCGTCCCTCTAACTTATGATTCGTGTTTTCTCTTTTCCTGACTTTTCCCGGCTTTCTGACCCATTTACTTTCAGGGTGGCTACTAAAACAGACTGCCTAAAAATCAGTACTTTTTCAGTACATTCCCGAGAAATTCAGCACCTCCTCAACGGAAAAATCCAGATCTTTTTCAGTACCTCCACTTGACGAAATTCGAAAAATTTCAAAAATTTGAATTTCTCTCTCAAATTGCGACAAAAATGAAAAATTCCGGACCTTCTAACGGAATTTCCGCTTTTTCTCAGTATTTCCCGACCGCCCTTGAAAAATCAGTACTATTTCCGAACTTTCCGTAAATTCGGGACTTGTAGACAACCTGACTTTCCTTAAAGTTTCCCGAATTTCCTTAAGTGAGGTTTAGTTACCTTAACATCATTTGGAGACTTTCTTAGACACGAGTATCATTCCCCGAATTTCGAGGACCACTTTCTTTTTCGTGGGTGTTTTCGGCGGCAGTACACCAGTTGGCGAGAACTTACTTGCAAACGGAGGTTCGGAGGCTCCGAAGGGAGGGGGGGGGAGCNTAACAATGCTTGCAATTTCATAATCCGATTTATCACTCTCACTCATTTCACTCGGTGGAAGCTTACACGGTGAACTGTTTAAACTGTTTGCCAAGACAGTCGATTTATTGCTCGACCTGTTCCACGAGGAGCACATCGAACCTCTTCCAGCCTCTTTCTCTCGCCTCCTGGAAAAATGTTTCCTAACTCAGCAATCGTTCCGGGTTTGATCTGGTGATGGAACCAGAAATTGACTGCGTTAAGCAGAAAGGAGCCAAGTCACATCAGCCATTGCCAAATTTAACTAGGCAATTTAATTTTTGAAATGAAAACGGTTGTGCAAATTTCAGAGAATTTTTTGCACAGTACAAAGCAAATTCATTGACATTTTGAAAGAAATCCGCTTGAACGCCCCCTTGTAAAAAATTAACTTGTAAAAACTTTGGCGATAGCTGACGTGGCTTTCCTTTCTACTAAACGCGGATCCAAGATTTTATTTTAGGGACTCCGCGCTAACAATCTATGCGATGTAATCTGGTGGAGGCAAAAGTTCAGTTCAGAGGTCAACGCCTTGCAGTGATGATTGATGAACAACTTGTTGAGCAAAAAATCAAATAAAATTCGCCTGATGATGACTGATGAGTTTCAAAGCTGGGCAAGTTCTTGCAAATTGAATTAGGATCCCGAAACCAAATGCTCAAATCTTTGGTCATCAGTCATTATTGGGCGAATCTGTTGGTTGACTTCCAAAAGTTACGATTACATTGTAGAGAGGTTCGCAGCGAGGGGTCTCTAAAATATATTGTCTCTGGATTAGAACGCCTACTTATAAATTTTGTTTTTTGACCGTACGTGAGACACAACGATAATCATTGAATGACTTTTCTTTTTTCTTGTACACTGAATCATTTTGGACAGCGCCGGCAGGGTTTAGAAGTCATGCTGATAATATACATAAAGTTCGAATTCAGCGTCAAAAAGAACATGAAAATCACTTGACGCAAAGTTTTCCTACATATTTTCCCCCTAGAAATAATCCCCGATCATCAAATTCCCTGAATTTTATTTGAGTTCCTTAACTTTGGCTTGGATCCCTCACAATTCCTGTATTTCCAGAGCTGTAAACAATCGCCTGTTGAACTTTTGAATTGCTGAAGACCAAGTGGATTGTATTTTGAAATAAGGAACTACCATTCCTGGCTCATTCATGAAGGCTCGCA